ACCCACACCCACATCCCACACCCACACCCACACCCACACCCACACCCCACACCCACACCCTCACACCCACCCACCCACACCCACATCCCACACCCACACCCACACCCACACCCACACCCTACAATCCCATTCACCTGAAACTCAATAGATAAAAATTATAATGTTCAGAAATATAAACATGGTATATCCTACCATCGCATAGCCAGTCAAAAGGAATACATTGCCCAGTGACGCAGCGATATTCATTATCGGCACAAGTCCAAGAGTTCAAACAAAATTCAACTGATTCGTCTATGCCTGTATCAGTGTCAAAGTATGTATCACAATACTCAGCAAATGAAATGAGTTTTGAACTGGACAATAACGATGTTGTCATCGTTTTGTTGTTGCTATTATTCAATGAATGAACTATATGATCTCGAATCAAATAGCATTCAGAAGCATCTTGGTCATTGCACTTCAAAGTTGTCATGTCGATTCCGGTATCACTCAAATATATGTGTTGGCTACTAATGCAAGTGACTAATATCGAACCAAGGTAAAGTACAGGAATACATGAATCTTGTTGAGTATTTGTAACACATTTCACGCAGTGTTTAATATGGCGTTCGTTGAATCGAAGTAATGCCATCTCATCAAACTTGCTATGCCGACAATTTACTAAGCCATCATGAATACGGTGAATTGATATGCAAAATTCATTGCATTCAATTGCTACTTCCATAACTGTAGAAAGATTAACGATCGAAAGCCAATCGTGCCAACATGACATATCAAAGTGAGGTGCATGTATGGAATAGTTAAGTACGAGCCTTTCGTTGGATTCAGACATGGCAGCTACACGACAGGCAGTCTGTTCAATCTTAGACAACTGTAAAAAAGGACTCATAACCATGGACCACTCATCAAGAAGAGGAGATATAGTCAAATGAAAACCAGCACACCGAAATCGACCGTATATTTTGATAATATCGGGAAATCGATTACTACTTACAGAACGATTAGTTCGATAGTATGTATGAATAAATGGACTTCCCACCGATCCTACTGGATACTCAATAAGTCCACTGCCTATGTCACACATGGTGGCTAGCCACATCGAAGCATTTTTGTGTGTTGGGCAATGTGTAGAGGATCGATTCGAGATTAAACATTTCAACAAGAAAACGCACCAACTTTTTGAAGTTGAATTCTCAAATTTACTCCACTCTAGATTAGATGGAACGCAAAATCCATCTTTTAGCGTCCAAAACCTATTAAATGGATCAGTCTCACATCGAAAGGCTAAATTTCGAAAATTAGCGCATAAATATTGCTGTTGAAAGTTGTCTGCTACACCCTGTATATGTGAGTAGAGAAGATCCTCTACTAC